TATACTAGAGTATATAAAAGAATAGATTCGGATCTTGGTTGCGCTAATGAATTGATAAACATAATGTACAGATTTCAAGCGCGGTTTGCCAATGAATGGCAAGTTCTAATTCCAAGAGGGCGAATTGCCCTAAGGGAAAGTTGTACTAGGGGCGAACTTGTCTAGCATTTTCGCGCATGCGTAACCTGAAGTAAGCCCATGACATCCGGTTTAACCCAGATCGTTCAGAAACTGAAAGAATATATAACGAACAGGAGGATATTTCTATGGTATATAACAAATAAAAGAATGTCAGAAATTGAAATACAAATGAATTAGATTTTAACAACGTTTACAACCAATATATCGTCACCCGCGTGGCGCAGTGTTAGAGCGTTGGTCTAGAGTCGCGGAGTAAGGAGTTAATCCTTACGTCGCTGGTTCGAATCCCACTGTGGAACGTGGAGACCGGTCCTTCGGATGAGACCGTATAAACCGAGGTCCCGTGTCGCAGTAGATGCTGGCACGAAAAAGATCCCTCACTGCTCAATGGCCCTGAGTGCCGAGTATAGGTCAAAATTTGCAGCTCTCCGCAAGTGGTGGCGTCTCCATATGAGTGAAAAATTCTCGAGATGGACGTTAAACACCAAACAAACAATATTTAAAATGTATTGTTTTTGGGTTTTATACCACTTCCAGGTGTAAACAAACATTGATGCAGCAAGATCAAACGTTTATGCAGATGACCAAGGCCTCAGCATGGAGTTTTGCAGCAAGGTGCACATCAGGTCACGTGTTCCCCGCAACAGCAGAAGTCCGAGTTCAGATCAAAAAATAAAAAAAATGTTGGTATCCAAAGAAAGGTCTGTCACAAGGAATAAACCTGTGAAATATGAAAACCCTATTAACAACGGTTCAAAGGCCATGGCCAAGGTTAAAGTTTTTCAAAAGTAGATCAAACTCCAAGGTCAAGGTCAAAGGGTATAAATAGTTGGTACCCAAAGGAAGGTCTTATTTCAAGAAAAACACATGCGAAATAGGAAAGCTCTAGCATCAACCGTTAAAAGGTTATGACCAAGGTTAAAGTTTTTAAAAGTTGGTCAAACTCCAGAGTCAAAGGTTCAAAATTCTTAATACGGAAGAGAGGGTTTTGTCACAAGGAATTCACCTGTGAAATATAAAAACCCTAGCACCAACCTTTCAAACGTTATGTTCAAAGTTAAAGTTTTCAAAAGTAGGTCAAACTCCAAAGTCAAGTTCAAAGGGTCAGAATTGCTGATACCCAATTGCAAGGGAAGGTCTTGTCACAAGGAAAACAGGTGTGAAATACGAAAGTCCTAGAACCAACTGTTCAAAAGTTATGGCCAAGGTTAAAGTCTTTCATAAGAAAGTCAAATTCCAAGGTCAAAGGGTCAAAATTGTTAGTAACCAAAGAGAAGATCTTGTCACAAGGAATACACCTGTAAAATATTAAAGCCCTAGAACCAACCTTTCAAGTTATGGTCAATGTCAAAGTTTTTCAAAAGTAGTTCATACTCCAAGGTCAAGGTCAAAATTGTTGGTACCCAAGGGAAGATCTTATCACAAGGAATAAACCTGCGAAATATGAAAGCCGTTGCACCAATCGTTCAAAAATTATGGCCCGGGTTAATGATTTTTAAAAGTAGGTCAAACTTTTGCAAAAATGGGTCAAACCCCGAGGCCAAAAGGTCAAATATGTTGGTACTCAAAGAAAGTTCTTGTCACAAAGAATACACATGTTCAAGTTCAGTTTATTCACCAGAACAAAAATATTGGTACCAGGGGTACATCAGTTTATAACATATATACATTTCAAACCAACTGGTCAGAGGTACATAAATTATATATACAATACAAAACATGGTGTTACATGAAGAAAAATAAAAAATAAAGAAAGTGGGAAATATATCAAGGAGGACAGATAGCATCATAAACTTTTAAGATAAACATACATATTTTTTTCAGGATTTTATTCGTTTTGGTTGACATAAGTTCCGCGCGTAAATTTCATGACATTCGGTCTGTGAGAATAATAATTACCCTGCTACTTTTTTTTCGTACATAAGCTAAAGCTTTACACTCTGGACTAAAGAAAGAGCTAGGTTCACTTTATGCATAAAATGGCCCTGTAGATATACCAATTTATTGACTAACACATTGTGTACCACTTTCAACATAAATATAAAGTAGAGACTTAGTGCTTTCAGTTTATATAACAGAATTTCCTTTGAAGAGTCCAGGCATTGGAAAACAGGTTGTGTGAAATCGCATTGTTATTGAATTTTGCAGAAAACAGGTGTTTTTGAGAACCTTCAGCAAAAAATTAAAATATGAGCACACCCCTCGATCCAAAAATTAAAATATGTTTTATAATCTTCATTAACAGTTCTTTTATAATATATTTACACATTTTGGATCGGAGGTTGTGCTGTATACGAAATTTTAAAAAATGGCATCATATTTTGGCCATTTTTGAAGAAATATTCAGGATATGTGAATAATGACGCAATTCATGACGTCATAATGCATCAACTAGAAAGAAAATTACGTCATTTTCAGTAGATTTTCATTCAGCAAGTGTTCAAGACGAGTATTATTTATTGCCTTGTCGACTAAAACTATACAGTTATAAATTTTCAGAAATTCACAGGGCCAAAAAAGGCCCTATGTGGCTCTTGCTCTTTATCAGCAATTTGACCATTATTACAAAGTGCACAAATCCTTTTTTTCATATTATCTTCCAGTTTCTATTGGTAAATGATGATTTGTAGTAAGATATATTAGAAGCCATTTTGGTTTTTATGAGAAGAAACACCCTTAGCTTAACCTCTCTTGAGCTTTAATCATATCCGCAAAACTGGTTGAAACACCTGACGAATTAATGCCAGCAAATTCTGTAACACCATCTATTATTCTGTGATTGTCAACTTTGTCATTTTCTCACAGCAACGTCTCTTTTAACCTACGCAGTATATCATAATAACATGCTATGCTTGATATACTCTTAAACCACCTCAGAACCAAAGGACCTGCTGAATATATCTCTATATGATAGAATGTAGTCTATGTTAACATTCTCCTAACTGACAATTTTGTGTCCGTTAACGTGCATCCAAGTATGGAACAAAAGTTTACTTAAAATTTTAATTCACTTAAAATCGTGTCTCTTGTTACGTCATTTTTATGGTCAGTTTGCTGAACACACGGGATTCTGACGTCATTCTCGGAGTTATTTTTTTTTTAAAAATAACAAAGTGACGTCACAACATGTATATATTTTCGTGATCTGTCCAGTGATATCAAACTTAGTTATTTCTGTTCGTTTTGTTTTTATTGTTTAACGTCCCTCTGGAGAATTTTTCACTCACATGGAGACGCCACCACTTGCCGGTGGAGGGCTGCAAATTTTTTTTTAGTTATTTCCGTTAAAAGGTGGATATTTTATCAAACAATTCTCGGAATTTTTCAAACGCCCCTCGTAACTTAAAAAAAGAAGAATTTGCAACAACACCAGTAAATTATGTCTGAAATAATAATAATATGTACTGAACGTCAAAAAGTTACTAAACGTCAATATTTCAATGATTCGTAAGCCAAGGGTTTTGAGTCTATTTCCACGTTTGTGGAATCGTTGTCTTTTCACAGTATTTTTAATGAAAGAATGTCTAATTTAAGGAAGCTCTAAACACTAACAAAAGGTGCTTTTTGGACTTGTTGAAAAATATATCGTATAAAGGTGTGCATATTGGGTTTATTTCGTTCATTTTCAACATAGGGTACCTGTCTTATTTCCGCAGGAAAAATGTTTAAAGACAATGGACTATTCGTGAAGAGAAATCACTGTTGTTGTAACTTACATTGGGAAAATTAATGGAAATATTGAATTAAATGACTTATTCTTGGTCTAATATAATGCTTAGAATATTTTAATCTACTAAAAATGTGTAATTAACTGTAAATAACCATTTTTTCCCTATCTTCTAAGGGCAGATCACTCTAACTGCATAAAACTACACTACAAGAATTCTTTAGTGTGCAGTGTTTAGAGCTTCCTTAATCATTCTAAATTTCGGAGTCAGTTATGTAATTAAGGTTGACATTAAACAACATTTTAAAAAATTCTACAGTAGGAAAAATAAAAATAACTTCTTATGTAATATGCAAACTTTATTGACTATTTTTCTGAAGAAATAATAAAAAAAAAATTGTTGAAAAAAAAGAAATAAAAATCGTGAGGTTATCACGAAATTTAGCAACATTGCACTACTTCGAGAACATGTACTTTTTAAGGTCGCTGCCTCTATTTCAATATCAGATACTGAGCCAATCACATTTGCGTGAATTGTCTTTAGGGCATTCGCTTTTTCTTATCCAAGAAAACACAGTAGTGACGTCATAATCTAATGACAGCAATCATATTAACAGAGAATAAGATATAGTTTCAAATATTGATTCAGCCATGAAAATGTTCATCGGCTACTGAAGCTCAAAGTCTTGGGAAATCGTCTACAACCTTAAAAAACTGGATGTGAGCAGTCCTTTTTTCGACATTTTAAACTTCGTTTGTCAAGAATTGTGAAGAACGATTATATTTCGGTAAACCAGTTAATGACTATCGTTTCATTGGATAGAAAAGGGTCAATTTTCAGAATGCATTATTTTTCCTCAAATTAGAATTGTATTGGATTTTTTTCTCTAATCCACTTGCATTCCATTTGTAACGCGATTCACATTAAATATTTTTAGATAACATGGCGTTTGGCTCTACGCGTCGGAAATCATTTCTGTCGTTTCAAAGGATACAGTAATAACTAGCCATAGGACATGAGAATCAAACAGATACAGCCTGTAGATAAGCTACAAAACTAATCCTAATTACGCACCCCATGCATTAAAAACCTCGCCCGCTTTAGCCGAATATTTTTTATTTCCACGGACACCTTGCAGTGATTTTTTTTCCTCTTTGAAAGATCATGTTTGTTCAGGTTAAAAAACATGAAGCATTTCTGGAATTTCTCATCTTTTATTACGCGATCGAGTCTTTCAAGGAATAATATAACTGGACAATCAATAGAGATTTTATTGTTCCAACCGCGCATGTGCACAACTGTCTGAGCACAACACCGATAGTTTACTTTCCTGTTAACTCCCCGCCTAATTGATTGTGAATCCACTTCAAATTAGTTTTCTTTCCCCATGGAACCGTAACAGATGATGAGAAGAGAGGGCATGGAGATCAACTAAAAAAAGACCAGCCCAGGTAAAAACTTTTTCTCATAACTTTTGACCTTTTGGATTTAGAAACTTCTGATTTTTTTCTCCGAATGCTTATCCGTATAGTGTGTAATATTACGTAAATATTCAGCTCTTTTATCCACTCGCATATAAGATAGGATCAGAGAGCACATGTTTCTCTCAATATTGATGCAAAACAAATTGAGTTTTTGGTTTAGTTCACACACAGATAGCTGTTTATGAACGCACGATGGTCTATGATGAATAAGCACTTTTTTATGAAGTCAAAGTAGCAAATAAGATTTTTCCCTCAAAGTGCAAATATGTACGAAAGTAAATATACAGTAAATTTAAAACAAAAGAAATCTCTTTCATAATAAAATACGGAAGTATTTTAAGGAAAAAATATCTCGGAAAGGAATCAAGAATATTATTTGTCAGGATTTGTCTTATTTACGAAGTAGTTTCTATTTTCTACTAAAGTTCTCAAAATATGTTCATGCTTTGTTTTGCTTTGTTTGTTTGTTTTTTTTAACCCACTGTTTACATTCGGTTTACCTTATAACAAAACCATCATTTTTTTAATATTTAATTTTTCTTTTGTATTTTATTTTTGCATACAAGGAAACAGACACATGTACATACAGAAATATAATAAGACAACTGGTTTTGCCAGCTAGTAGATGCTTTTAAATTATTAATATATACGTTTTATATCAATAAATTATACATAGAAAGAAATTGTTTCCAATGTTGCTTTGTTTAAAGGACAGGTTCTAAAGTTATCATTTATAGTTTCAGGGAAAAAAAACAAAACAAACCAGAAGTCTCTGATGAGACTGTAGCTCTACTGGTCTGTTTGTATAACAAAAGAAAAGTAGCACTTGGATTTGAAACATTGCAACATGCAACAATAAATAGAATTATGTATCTTAATGTAGTCTACTTTTGTGACAAGTTATATTGAAATCAAATGAAAACTAGGAGTAGTAGCGTTTTGAAAGTATTTCACGGAAATTTCTATTTTTAGTACCGGTAACAATGACAACACCATTCACCCAAATAAAAAAAAACAGAAATACATATTATGTATCGTAGTGTATTCTAACTGTGTGCCAAATTAGATTGAAATCAGACCAAAATTGTAGGAGGAGTAATGTTTTAAAGGAATTTCACAGAAATTTCTATTTTAAGTAACCATGGCAACACTGTTCATCGAATTCAAAAACCAATGCAATAAATTATGTATCTTAGTATAGTCTTCTTGTATGCCTAATTATATTAGAAGCAGACTAAAACTGTAGCAGGAGTAGTGTTTTAAAGGAATTTCACAGAAATTTCTATTTTTAGTAACCATGGCAACACCGTCCATCGAAATCAAAAACCGATGCACTAAATTATGTATCTTAGCGTAGTCTACTTGTGTGCCAAGTTATATTGAAATCGGACCAAAACTGTAGGAGGAGTAGCGTTTTAAAGGAATTTCACAGAAATTTCTATTTTTAGTAACCATGGCAACACCGTCCATTGAAATCAAAAACCGATGCACTAAATTATGTATCTTAGTGTAGTCTACTTGTGTGCCAAGTTATATTGAAATCGGACCAAAACTGTAGGAGGAGTAGCGTTTTAAAGGAATTTCACAGAATTTTCTATTTTTAGTAACCATGGCAACACCGTCCATCGAAATCAAAAACCGATGCACTAAATTATGTATCTTAGTGTAGTCTACTTGTGTGCCAAGTTATATTGAAATCGGACCAAAACTGTAGGAGGAGTAGCGTTTTAAAGGAATTTCACAGAAAATTCTATTTTTAGTAACCATGGCAACACCGTCCATCGAAATCAAAAACCAATGCACTAAATTATGTATCTTAGTGTAGTCTACTTGTGTGCCAAGTTATATTGAAATTGGACCAAAACTGTAGGAGGAGTAGCGTTTTAAAGGAATTTCACAGAAATTTCTATTTTTAGTAACCATGGCAGCACCGTCCATCGAAATCAAAAACCGATGCACTAAATTATGTATCTTAGTGTAGTCTACTTGTGTGCCAAGTTATATTGAAATCGGACCAAAACTGTAGGAGGAGTAGCGTTTTAAAGGAATTTCACAGAAATTTCTATTTTTAGTAACCATGGCAACACCGTCCACCGAAATCAAAAACCGATGCTCTAAATTATGTATCTTAGTGTAGTCTACTTGTGTGCCAAGTTATATTGAAATCGGACCAAAACTGTAGGAGGAGTAGCGTTTTAAAGGAATTTCACAGAAATTTCTATTTTTAGTAACCATGGCAACACCGTCCATCGAAATCAAAAACCGATGCACTAAATTATGTATCTTAGTGTAGTCTACTTGTGAGCCAAGTTATATTGAAATCGGACCAAAACTGTAGGAGGAGTAGCATTTTAAAGGAATTTCACAGAAATTTCTATTTTTAGTAACCATGGCAACACCGTCCATCGAAATCAAAAACCGATGCACTAAATTATGCATCTTAGTGTAGTCTACTTGTGTGCCAAGTTATATTGAAATCGGACCAAAACTGTAGGAGGAGTAGCGTTTTAAAGGAATTTCACAGAAATTTCTATTTTTAGTAACCATGGCAACACCGTCCATCGAAATCAAAAACCGATGCTCTAAATTATGTATCTTAGTGTAGTCTACTTGTGTGCCAAGTTATATTGAAATCGGACCAAAACTGTAGGAGGAGTAGCGTTTTAAAGGAATTTCACAGAAATTTCTATTTTTAGTAACCATGGCAACACCGTCCATCGAAATCAAAAACCGATGCACTAAATTATGTATCTTAGTGTAGTCTACTTGTGTGCCAAGTTATATTGAAATCGGACCAAAACTGTAGGAGGAGTAGCATTTTAAAGGAATTTCACAGAAATTTCTATTTTTAGTAACCATGGCAACACCGTCCATCGAAATCAAAAACCGATGCACTAAATTATGCATCTTAGTGTAGTCTACTTGTGTGCCAAGTTATATTGAAATCGGACCAAAACTGTAGGAGGAGTAGCGTTTTGAAAAATTGTTTACAGACAGACGGACAGACAGACAGACAGACAGACAGACGGACGGACGACGGACACCTTACTATCGCATAAGCTCTTCTGGTCTCTGACCAGTAGAGCTAAAAAAAAACGTTGACCAATTATTTTATTATTAGCAAAACGAACAATTCTAAATTATCATTTCTATAGGTTTTTCCCCATGAAACAACCAATCAATAGATAACTTATCTTCATTGAAGTATTTATTATCCATTTATTTTATGATTGGTCACGTGACTTTTATGACTAGGCAAACAAATATCTGGTATTTTTCTGAAATAACAAAAGTTACTTTATATTGTAACAGTGTAAAGCTTTATACAATGAAGGAAATGCTACATCAATATTAATATTACTTCAATTTAATGAATCTAGATGGGGGGTTTTTTCGGCCGAGGGTGGGGTGGATCAAACGCTACTTACATGTATTTGTGGAACAGAAATTGAGTTCAATATTGATTTGACGCAACTTTTGCTTCTTTCTTTTCCCTTTTTGATATTATCGAATAAAAAGAAATGAATAAAGAAAAGAAAAATTAACCGATTCTTGGTTTACAGGAAATTACCGCTATTCTCATTAAAGGTAGTGTTTAATTAAAACTAAAATAAAGAAAATTTTCCTGTTTAACTAATTTATACCATAAATCCTCTTTTGAGTTGAAGTAATGTATTTCTAACGCATACTCGTATATTATACATTTATGGAAGAGCAAATTGAAAATGAAAGACGAGACGAGAATGGTGTTAATTTCAGCCACGTGGTCTTACCCATTGGGTCGCAATTGGTCGCCTAATTGGCGGCCTGAGAGTACTAAACTTACAGAAAATTCATGGATAATTGATAATACGTTTTGTGATTTCTATAGAGATTTATTTGAAGTAGCAAAGATAATTTCAGCTGTCAAACTAAATTAAGTTAAGAAAGACTGCATTTCATTGTCAAGCTGCAATATCGTCTCTCTTCCTGGAGTGTTGGAAGGAACGGACACAACACTGTACATACAGTGAATCCTGTCTAATCCAGATGTAGTGATAAGTGTATTCCGAAATCTTGCCTAATACAATGTTAACTTTTAGTAAATTCAATTGTTTGAAATGTTGTCTATTCCGGAATGTTGTCTAATCCGGCCAGTTTTTATATGGATCCAGTGATGTACTAATTAGACAAGTTTTACTGTATTAATTTTATTTAAACTAAACTTTCACTTCGGGGCTACTTTTTTTTTACCAGAACAGATGGGAAGGTTATAATTTGATAAAATAAAATTGGGGAAAATAAAACAACTTTAACAATACATTGTATATATACACGATACAACTAGTATTTAAAAAAAATAATTAAACCGAGTGGAACATCAACACAAGTATGCCAGGAAAGAACAAGGTACGGTTTCAATACAAATCTTGCACTGTATTTTTCTTAAAAATGAAAGTGATGAAAAAATTAAAATTCATGCTTTCTGAATAATTGAAAGTCCATGCGGAAAGATCATACAAATCATTTTTCTCACATGACCTACTAAATGCTAACTTGTGCATTTTCCCGTATTTTCTTAAAAAGTGCAGAAGACATCAATTTTCAATGAAATTTTCTTTAAGATAATATAGACCACATGCATCGCCCACAAAAATTTTTAGATATGTGATTTTTCAAAAAAATTTACACAACATATCCAAAAATTAAAGTGGGCGACGGCTGTGGACACTATTTTCTTAAGGAAAATAACCCCTGAAATGGGTCATTTTGAGGCCATTTCTGCTTATAACAGAGGAATGCATCAAATTAATGACGTCATACTTCCAGAATGGTCTTCCTTCATGTCATATTCTTTCCTGATTTACAACAGTCATATATTCAACTCATAGTTAAGCCAGTTTCAAAACTTTTTGGAAACATTAAACTTTTGGCACAATAAAACCAAAACCGTACCTTCTTCTTTCGATAGTTCTCTTAAATTTTTACGCGTACACGTACATGTAATTTGTTTTTCAGTTTTTATCACAGGATTTCAGATGTTTTAACCTGACTGATATACTGAGGGAATAAAAAAAGTAACGTTGTGGAACTCTTCGGGTAGGGTACCGAATTCCGTCGATGAAACAGTAATGTGCCATTGATCTAAAATTCTACGCTCTTTTCATATCTATTTACAAATAAACAATCTATAAATATGCTCAAGTTCATTCCAAAATTCCGTTTAACTTATCATGATACATGTATGCTGCAATGCAGTCCAAATCTTACCTATTTTTGTTTATCGAAACCAGATACCTAGAGAGATGTAATTAATTTTAACCTCCATTTACTGTCATTATCGCTAATTTCTGAAGCTTGAAAACTATGTACAGTCAAACCAAAGTATTTCGAACTCAATTGACTGGCAAAAAAAAATCATACTTTGAGACTTAAATTCCTATTGTAATGGAGACCATAGATTTACTTCGACATATCCCTAATTCTCGATACGTACATGTACATGTATCGCTGTTCGAGATTCCAAAGATAAACTTTAATTATACATGTAATAATTTCAAAATTAATTTTCATGTGCTCATAAAATTCATTTATTCTCACCGAATTGTATACAATTGATTAAAAAAATACTCTGTAAGAGTTGTTTCCATTGTAGGCCAAAGTCTACCACACTACTGTGATTTAGTTCCTGGATAGGTTCAGGAAAAGGACGTAAACGAAATACTGATCCTAATGTTTGATGTTAAAGATCGAAAGCCTGGAAAATTCAAAGTAAGCACGTAAAACTAGCGTTTATTCAGATAAAGACCTTAGAAAAGATTAATATAAAATGCTATTCTATTTGAAGGGTCATTAACCAACAGTTCTGAAAAATGAACTGAATCAGTTAAGTACGTTAAAGGAATTTCTTTTTCGATTTACATAACATTTATTATTAAGTAGGATAATTTTGATGTAAATCTTTCTGTCAAATTGTTTTCAGAAAAAGTCGCCATGTTATTGTCTTTATTGCTGAGGTCAGCCACTTATAAAATCTGTAGTAAAACTAATAAAAATGGCGGGAGTTAATAAGCATGACAACCACAAGGTTCCCATGGCAAGGAATATTAATGCTTAGGCATAAAATAATTTTAAAATATTGTATGTCAGGCCCTGTATCCCACATCTGGAGCATGTCAAAGCTGCCCCCTGCTCAACAACTCCGTTAAACACCTCGGATTGTCGGTGAAAAAAAAGAAAAATGAATTCCATACAGACTCCGGAATACTGAAAAAGAGGTTATACATGAGAATTATAGGCTCGTGAATCGATTAACAAATTATAACGGTGTTTGATAATTATGATATTTTTATCAAAGTGTAAATAAGTACAATAATGTTTTTTGTATTATTGATTCCAAAAAAGACTTCTTTATTCAGGCAGTATCTTTAGACAGAGTGCTGCTTTTCCGGAGAAATCTTTCAGTGGGACGAGTAACATGATTAATTTTTCAGTTAATCAGAATAAAACAATTTTGCTAACTTAAAGTAAAACATTTTTGAAATAACTGTTATTACTCAATATAACTTAATGAATTACTTCATAATCTAACAACACATATATGATAAACTGTACCTTATCATTTTATAAATTTTGTTTCATTTTTACGAGGGGCATTTGAAAAGTTATGAGAACTACTTGCTAAAATATGAACCGTTTAACGGAAATTACTGAGTTTGATATCATTGGACAGATCACAAAAATATACACATATTGTGACGTCATTTTGTAAATTTTATGACGTACTAACTCAGAGAATGACGTCAGAATCTCTAATGTCTAGCATACTGACCATAAAAATGACGTAACAATAGACACAATTTAGGTAAAGTAAAATTTTAAAGTCAACTTTTGTTCGTTACTCGGATGCACGCTAACGGACACAACTGCCAGTTGGAAGAATGATTACATAGACTACAGTCTATCAAATGGAGTTATATTCAGGAGCTGCTATAGTTCTGAGGTGGTTTAAGAGTGTGTCAAACATACCATGTATTAATCGAATCTAGCGCAAAACATTGGGTAAAAAAGACGCTGCGGAATCACGGAAGAATAGTGGACGTTGTTACAGAATTTGCTGGCATTAATTCGTCAGGTGTTTTAACCAATTTTGCGGGAACGATTAAAGCTCAAGAGAAGTTAAGCTAAGGGTGTCCCATATTTTCTCGTAAAAACCAAAATGGCGTCGGTGTAGTTCTAACCCAACCGTAACTCGGTGTGTTTGAAAATTTTGAATCATGGAAAATAAATAAGATTGTACAAGGCAATGAAAGTCATATTTAATTTTTTGAGTCCAAAGTCAAAAGCAATAGTGAGTTTTGGATCGCCGAAGTTGAAATAATATGAAAAAAACAATACGCACAGAAACCACTGTAGGAAAGCCGATGACCGTAATATAGTTTACGGTCATCAAAACATGTCGGCTGAGATGATCGGTTGAAAATTTTCGACGGCGATTATAAACATTATTCAGTAAAACTGAATAATTTAAGGTAATGGTTAAACGAACATCGATGTTATCTCTACACCAGTAGTTATTGTTTACCCAAACAAAAGAAAATGAAATGATGAAAGGCCTTCGAAATTTTGCAGTATGATGACCGTAACAAACACATTCCAGCGAGAAGATGATGACCGTAAAACAGTTATTTAGATGACCGTAATCTTTGTACAAAATCATGTTAGATGTTTTATATCTTATTTAACATCAATTCTACATGTTCTATTACACCCCTGTAAACAATTCTGATGCGATCGGCAACACGGATAAAATCATTGAAGTAGAAAGTATCGTAGAGAATAAGTTAAAGCAGTTTTGTATGCGCTGGAGTATAACCAGATGTAAGTAATACTAGAAAAGATTTAATTCGGGCAAATATCACCTAGATTAAATTTGTAAAATAATTTCTGTGCAAATGATCAAATCGACAATGCTCCAAACATCGAATTTTCATGCTTTGAGATAGTTTAGATTGTTATCATCTATCAGCATTGAAAGTCATTCTTAGAGGTATGAACTAAACATTTTAAAATTAAAACTGTATACATTAGCATCAAAACAAATTTTAATTGGAAATTTTGACAACTGCGAGGCGATCGTCAACGACATGTATCGTTTATTAAGCGATCGTATAACTGGGAAATAGCGATCGTAAATTAAACGCATGAAAAAAAAAGCACAAATCAGAGTAAATTCTGTTTAGGAAGTGTTATTTCGATGTATAATATATATTATTAAATTCAAATAAGGCAGTTGGTCATTGTGAGATATCGTTTTTAACCATCAAAATTGACCTACATAAATATTAGAAATTAAACTTAACTATGTTAATCAAGGAGATACTACGGAAAACGAACTGGAGGGCTCGCAAAATTTTACCTCAAAGGTATAGCACTTATAATATCTCATATAATATATTTCAACAGAATAGAATTTATTTGCAGGCACGCAGTATCGTTTTTTTTTAAAGGGGGGGGGGGGGGGTTATAATGTAAAATTACCTTAGAAAGTTTGACAAGCAAAATAAAAAAGGAAAATTGTCCAAATTCGAAAAATCCTATATTGAATGTGTGTGTGTTCGGGGGGGGGGGGGGGGGGGTCATCTTCTTTCACAATCAAATTTTATTCACAAAGTACCAGAGTATCACTATTTAACTATACTGCAATAAAAGGGGGGAGGGCAACCAACTTTTCAATAAACATTTCAACTGTTACAGTAAATAGTTATGTTTAAAAAAAGTGGAAGAAAGCAGCCTCACTTACCCCCCCCCCCCCCCCCGTCCCTTTTTGTGATATCCCGATGAGTTGTACAACTCAGAGGCAATAAAGATTTGAATTGATTTGAGTTTAATAGAGTAAGCTATCATTAATTAAACCACAGGAGTTGGAATATGGCCTTTCTGACATATTTTATTTCTTACATAAAATTTGTAACATGACGACTTTTGTAAGAAAGCAATAAAATATGTCAAAAAGGACACATACCAATCATTTCCCCGAAATTTTCCATATCCCGTAAATAAAAAATACAAATACGACAATAATAACAATTTTCAGTAAAATGATAACACTTGTAATTATTTTAGTTTAATTGATAGGTATCCCAACTCCTGTAATTGTTATTTTCATAGTATAGTCATTAGTGTATTAATTTTTTTTTTTATTTACTGAAAATTTCGGTAAAATTTATAGGTATGCTAACTCCTGTGATTGAACAGCCATTCCCTTGACAATAAAACCTGTTTTTCTATAATCCTAATATTCGGTCCTTCCAATACTTTTTGTTAGTATCTGATTCATTTTAATCGAGTGCCAATAGACAATGAAAAGAAAGAGTTCTGAATTTTTGATTTTGCTGTCTTAAAATGTGGACATAATTACCCAAGCAGAAGATTAGAAAATCTGTCAATCCCCCCCCCCCTCTTCAAAATCAAATGTTCGGTGTCCTGTTCTGTTTCGACAGACTATCAGCCCATGTAAATCGGTAAACTCTTACTATATTTCATCAAACTGTTAAGGGTATTTAATGAATTTCAAATTGCACGATCGCATGTTTATCATATTTTCTTAGTTGCATGATCGCACACAGAATCGTTACCGATCGTAAAAACGTTTGGCACATGTACACTTCAAATCTTTATTTTGACGCTTTCTGTTTAATATTACGGTCATCATAAATTTACGGTCATCCCACTTCACGGAATAAACCGAGATTACGGTCATCTTAATATTTTGTTACGGTCATCATTCTCAAAAACTTTGAGGTCGTACTACAGCTTTATTTCCTTAAGTTCAAGTAAGCTATAAAAACCAATAGCAAGTTTTACTTAGCGTACATTCAATTTTCAGCGGAATTTACACAGATATGCTATCAAATGTTTGATACCTTGAATGAAAAATTCTTACCGGTCAGCTCGGCCGACATGTTTTGATGACCGTAAACTATATTACGGTCATCGGCTTTCCTACAGTGAGAAACATGTCCGGAGGAAAACTCTTGTACGTTCTATTCGTAAACGGTAAGAGTCCTGATACTCAAGATGCATTTGTGGAAAACTGCATCGTTACTCTTCAGTTTTATGTTGAATATGTTTTATTTAATATAGTGGAGAGCTATATAATAGACCAAAAATCCAGCTATATCATATAAATAAAAATTTTTGATGACTGCTTAGGATAACATAACCGGACATAAACCCTGCTTATTAACCAAGCAAAAAAAGTATGGAATTGCTGATTTACCATACCATTCTTACAGTCTTACTCTACGTTCATGCAAATTTTGTTTGAAATATCTTTTCAAAAAAGCCTTTGACAGCACTATTTCGATGTTCTCAAGTGGACTAAGAACGCGTCTTTTTAGTATGCTAAACATTCGAGACTCTGACGTCATTTTTAGAGTTATTACGTCATAAATACAAGAAAGTGACGTTAATATATAAGTGCAAATTTTCCAGCTCTTTTCAATGGAATCAAACGTATCAACTTCCGTGAAATGGTTAACATTTTAGCAAGCAGTTCTCAGAAATTTTCAAATGCCCCTCGTATAATAGTGATTGAAATATAGAATTATATATTTGATTACTTTCTTCAACTTTAAACTATAAATAACAGAAATTATGTTTTCTTAAATAATACAAAGCAGTCTTAAATGTCATGGTTGCAATATTAAATAAAAAAAAATGCTTTAGTCTTTTTTTCTGGTAGTTGTGTGTTAATCTGCGGCATTATA